GCCAAGAGCTTCAAAAACACCTGAAATAAAAAAAAAAAAAAAAAAAAACGGTAACAACAACGACACTAATATGGTTTAAACACCTTAAATTATTTTCTTTTTTTTTTTTACTTCTTTACCATCAAGGCACGATGTGACCCAGCACAGATGAAAATGTCGTCACTGTGTGAAGGAACTCCACCGTCTCGTCTGGTGATGAAATCCGCAATACTTCGCCTGACGTAGGTGAGTCCAGCAGACGGACTGTAGGCACCTGTAGAATGTTTCAGTTCACATGTTATTTTAATTCGATTCTTTATTATTATTATTATTATTCTTTTAAATCCTCACCAACACTTCCTCCATCACAGGCCTCCAGGAGAGTCCGAGCTCTTTGTCTCACGTCCAGGGGCAGAGACTTGTCCTTCAGCAGCTGAGGACACAGACACGCTGCCAGAACCTGAGACAACAGGCAGAGTTAACAGAAAAAAAAATTAGAAAGAAAAAAAAATAGATGGCATAATAAATAAAATATATAGTGAAAAAGATAGAACGATGTTTTAAAAAGCTAAAATAAACTTTTAGTTAAATGGCAGTAATACGTACTTAAATATAGACATAACAGACATAAAAATGTTTATTTAAGTCCATATGGCACTCACCTGTCGAACAAACGAGAGAGACTTTATTCCGGCTCTGTGAGGATCCGCTGAGGAAACGTTAATAATCCTCTGGAAGTGTTTTTGCGCCCCCTGTCGGACAGTATATATTTATAGCAGAAGGTTGAACCCGATTGGACAAAAGATTACAATACAACATCGGGGGCCACACTCATTGGGCTTGTTTTCTCAAGACCAGGCCCAAATGATCTTCCTACTTTGAAAACGTTAAATAAATAAATTTACTCATATAAACTTTATATGTACATTATATGTTGTGGTAGATTACTAATTAAGCAACAGTTTTGGTTTAATTCCATTTACAGGCAAAAATAGGAAAAAAAATAGTCCCTGGTTTTCTGTAGTAGCGCTTTCTGCAGTTACAAATTCCTCAAACTCACTTGTTTAATGTCCCGGTGGAGGCCCTCAGCCAGAGCCTGCAGAGCCTGCTGTGGTGGGACACTCATGGTGTTCACTGTGGGAATCACACGCTCCATAGAAGTCATTGTTTTTTTCCCTCAGACGTTTCCACGGTGCACAGAAGCTCTGAATGAGCATCTGTGCCAACGTCGTGCCCTCACATGTGAAAGTGGTCGGTCAAAGTTCAACCAGTCTCCTTCAGGCATTCAGTTCTGAAACCCTGGACTCTGAGAACTTCGGACAATGATTGGTTACAGAGGATATTTGGTATTTAGAAAGATTCAGAGGTTTAAAAATCAATCAGTAGTGAATAGTGAATATTTCACGTTGTATAGATGATTAGTAAAAAATTTTTTGAAATCTCTTTAAATTCTGCAAAGGCAAAACGTTTGAAAACCAAAAAATATCAAATTAAGTGGAAGTGGAATTAAATGGAATTGAGTGAAGTTATCATCAATAGAATCAAAGTTTGTGTCCATTTGCATATAATAAAAATATGTTTTTGATTTTGAAGCTAAAGCAATACTTTACACTATTCTTAATATAAAATCATAGCAGACTCTTGGTGTCAGAGTTTAACCTGTTACAGAACAAACCCAATGTGCTTTATTATCATGGCTAACCATTAGAAAACTCTTCTGTAATGCACATTATTTTAAGATACTTTTTTAAACAACACACTGATTATTTGTTCATTATTCAAAAGAATTGGCACATCTGCTTATAAAACAACTCGTTTAATCTTTAACAGTGAGTCCTGTACAAAAGTACAGTTGAATATTTACTCAAGCCACAGGCGGTGCCTCCTGATTGGCCAGAACCAGAGGGCCTGAAAAGAAACATCCAGTCCAACAACATACATGAAATCCACAGCCAGTAGCAAATAATCAGTCACGATGGACACGTCTTATCATGAGGAGCAGCTGTGACTGTAAACTGTCACTCCTTCAGTTCAAAGTTTGAATGAATTTGAGTTTAAACAACGTGAGCTTTTCTTTTAGAAGAGCTTTTAGATTTCAAACTAAATAGTACAGTTTCAAGCAATTTTAAGGTTTCTTGACAGATCAAAAAAATGACATAAAGCTTAGACGGGAACTCACTTAACTTTAGCCATTTTTCCATGAAAAAGGCTAAAACTGCGGACAAATTGAGGCTAAAAGAATCAAGCATTGGCCAAAACAGCTAGAAGCTGGACAAGCACCATTTAGTGAACCAAATGGATCCCAACATAAAGTCATCTGCTGATGAGTTCAAATTTGAATTCCCAGGAACACAAAGGTAATTTTAATAGATTTTCACGATTCTTTAAAAACTTTTTTTTCAACTGAGTTATATTTGACACAGAAAGAAACTGCAGTCAGGCTGATGTTCATGAAGAGCTTTATTAACTGAAATCTTATATATTATTGACATGACGTGTAATAATACTGGACAATCAGCATCTGTTCTACACACAAACACACACACACACACACATCGACTGTAGGCTGAGAAGAGAACGTTTGCATAGAAGTTCCAACACTGTGCAGTCGCAGTGTGAGGAGAGACAGAGAGAGAGAGAGAGAGAGAGAGAGAGTGTTTATAAAGACATTTAAAGGGGAGTTTGAAGAGAAGATGATGTTAAATCTGAAATAAAGCTACAGCATCTTCATGGTCAGTCTTCTAGAATGTTCTGTGGTCTATTAGAACAGGCTCTACACCTGCCTGATAAATTAAAGGAGTTTTATACAAAGAGAATACATAATTAGCTATGTTCATTTATTTCCTCTTCAGATATGAAGCCATGCAGTGAGACAAACTGAAGCAGCCTGTGGTCACCTGATCCAGGACCGGATCTAGGTCGAGGTGGTGGGTCTGGTGGTGTGGTTCTTCTGATGGTTTGGTTTATAGAGTCTACTCTAGCTATCTTGGTGCCCCAGGCCAGATAATTAATTGGCGCCCCCATCGCTCTTGTTGGAATTTTTTTTTCTTTTTCCGAGAGGTCACAGCTTCTCCCCTTCCAGCAGATGGCGCCCAAGGTGACTGATGCAAAGAATGGGCTGTATTTGTAAAATCTGAGGCTAAGAGAAAATGAGAGAGAGAAAATGAGAGAGAGAGAGTTTTCAGTGATAGCCCTTTGTTTGTGAACGCATCTCGGCCTCTCAGTGCAGGTGACACCCAGGGGGCGCTCTGAGGGACTCAGGCCTTCTCCCTGCTCCTCCACCACCACCCTTGCTCACCCCTGTGCCTCTAAGAAGGTAGCATACATGTGTTGAAAGCCCTTATTTTGAAGATAGAGCAGTGACGGTCACAGCGTGGTCTGGTGAGTTCACTTCACAGTCCCAGGTTTGTGCTCTCCAACGACGGACGGGACCTTCACTCCCGAGAGGTCAACTGGCAAAAACAAGACTAGGTCTTGATCAAGAGAAACAGAAAGCAGTTCAATTCCCTTTAAACCCATTTGATGAGCAGTGGTCCGAGACAAACCAGTGGCTTCGTTTTCTTCCACCAGACTTGAGATTTTTTTTTTCCTTAAAGGAACAGTGTCCCAGTTCTGGAGAAAGCAGTCGTTGAGTTCCTCTCTCAGAAGGTTTCATTGGACACTTTGAAGGCACATACTTGAGATTTTCTTTTTGCTACGTGTGCCCGCTGCTCCTTTATTAATCCAGAAAAGCTCTTTTTTAAACACTCTTCTTTTAGTGTAACCTGAGTTTTTCTTCTCACCTTTGTCCTGATTTTTCATACTAGAGCCTGAAACAGGAGGAGAGCAAATCCAATGGTTTTTCTTTAACTTTGAGGGTTTTTTTAACCACTTTTTAGTTTCTTTATTTCTCAAGTGTCTGATCTGAGCATATACTTTTTCATAAACAGTGTATATGAAGTTGTGGTTGCATTTTAAAGCCCAGGCGTTTACTACTGTCATCCTACAGCTATTTTAGTGGCTTATATATGTGGCCCAGAATGTTGCCCACATTTTAGCAATGGCTAAAGGCTATGAATGGTCAATGCTGGGAATATCTTTGGTTGAAGTCAGTAGCCTAAATGTCAGATCTGCATGTTTTTCCTTTTTTGGACCAATGCTGTTTTTTTCTTTTAATTCTTGCTTTTTTTCTTGCTTTGGAAAAAAAACCCTGAAAATTCAGAGCAAACATCAATTTTTGGAACAACCTTGACCATGGTAAACCATTACTTATGTTTGAATGTATAAAAAAATTGAAAAGTGAGATTCTGACTTTGTTGCCTCTATCTTACAGGGAAGGAAACACAACTTTTCAGATTGATTTCCAGTGTTGCTTGTTGTCTAATTCAAACATTTCAATCATAAACTCTCATTCCACTCCCTCGTGTTTCAGACTGCAATCATGGTTGTGTTTATAGCTCAAGTTTCATCTCCATGAGCTGTTTCTTCTCGTCCACCTTCTCTGCTGTTCAGTCACAGCTCGGTGCTTTGAATATCTCTCACTTATTGTGAGGAATCGTCTTCTCTCAGTTTGTACTAGATTGCATTTCGCTGATGTTGATTTTTTTCAAAGTTGTTTATGCTGCCGCTGCCCAGCACTGATGGCAGAAAGTTTAGGCACCTTTTTAACTTCAGTGCTCTGGTGGGGTGTTGGATTAACTGCGCTTTGCCGCCACCTGCTGCCTTAGCTTCTCTCGTCTCTTCTTCTCAATCAGCCTGGAAATTAAAAAACAAAGTACAAATGTTACTACTTTACTACTTGTTGGATTTGGGGACATACGGCTGTATGACAATGTAAAAACAATTTTAAAATGTTCCTTTGCTTTTAGTTACCTCCGATTCCTGGCCTCCATCAGCTCACTCAGCTGATCCTGAGCTGATCTGAGCTCATCCAACCTCTGCTGATAGCTGAGGTCAGCTGAGCCTGACCTTTCCAGGAGGGACACCTGGTTTAACAGTTCGGTGGTTCGATCCCTAAGCAGCTGGATGGAGGTGTATAAGTTCTCATCGTCCTCCTCCTGGAGACACAGGGAGGACGTGCAGACACAGACATGTTTTTTTGTTTCTTTTTACTGTAAAATGTTTTTCATTCGTGTAATATCCAGATTTTAGTAAGAAGTCTGGAATTTATTACCTTTGCGTTGACGATCTCTATGTGGACCAGGAGTGATGCTAGCTCCAGCTCCTCACTGTAGCTGTTCTTCAGGGGAATGCTCCTGTAGCCTGTCAACACAAAATACAATATGGAGGCGGGCACATAAGGGAAATGTCTAAGTGTCTAAGATTACGTAAGGGAACTCACCAGTTCGAAGGAGACGCACAGGATAAGTGGCCTGAGCCAAAAAATTGGGGTCACTAAACATGTCCTCCTCATAGACGGTAAAGCGCAGGAAGGAGAAGGTGGGATTATGGATGTCAAACACAAACTGCTTCTGCACCCAAACAGGGTTCAGGCCGTTATCAGCTGGAGAAGATTAGAACAATGTCAGCTGTCAATCTAGACCGGGCAACATCGTGGCAGCAGAAAAATCTTACCTACGACGTCTGTCTTACACCTGTAGCCGTCATAATCAGCTCCACAGATCTCCACCTCCACAAAGGGACAGACAATGCTGCGGCCATTTTTAGGCAAATGACGAGCCCCCAGCACCTGAAGTAAAACCAGAGACTGTGAAAAATGAAACAAAACAACATTTTTGTTTTTCCGTTTCCACACAACACAAACACTGACCTGTAACTGGATTGTGATTGGCTCCACATGCAAAGTGTCCTTGTCGAAGGGGTCAAAGGTGTCCTCCCTCATGATATCAGGGTGAGGAATGTAACCACTGCCACCTCCGAGCAGGAAAAAGGCCTGGTTCAGCTGCATGGGTTTATCTGCAATAAGACAAAAGAGAGTAGTCAGTTAAGGACAGGCCATTTTCAACAAGCCTTTGAAAGGAAGATGTATTAGAAGCTGTTGTTTTGAATTTATTTTGAAATACGTGCTCTTTTTTTGAAATGAGTAAAACCGGAAGTGGCGCATGTTCGCTTCCTAAGATCCCCACAGAGACCAAGGAATACTTGTAGCGTTTACATGCAAGATTGTTTCTTTTTATTAACGCTCCTTGCTTCGTGATGTTTGCTACGTGTGTGAATGTGGTTTAAAACGAATAATTGTGATTTTTAACTGTAAAGATTGTCTCTGACCAAAGTGGTCAGCGTTAGTCTGTGTATTCTTTATCGGCGTTAGCTACGGTGCTTAGCGATGCTATTTCTATAACGATTGCAATAACTGACGTGTTGTATTTTGTCTACGTAAACCTTTAATTCTACGACATAGAAGATGTTAAACAGATGAAACAAATAATTTAGTCATTTGCAATGATGGGAAGAGCAAAAGTCGTCGAGCAGTCTCGAGAATTTATTTTTTATTTATTTATTTTATGTCGAACCTGGGGTATAGTAATAGTTCGCCATTATTTGACTTATACCAAAGTTGAGTGAAAAATTAAGATCTATTTTCCCGACAAACTTTTTTTAATGCTTGGTTTGCTTTGTTTTGGACAGCACTGGACTACTTTGCTTATTGTGTATATCCTCACAAAGCCTCTGGTTTTTTGCGTTTTCTTCTTTCTATTTTTGTGTAAAGAAAAGTGTTTAAAAGCTAAAATAAAATGTATTTAAAAAAAACATTTTTAAAATTATTTTGAATGTTTTTCTGAAGAGAACAGAAAAGGGAAATTGTGTGACCCTGACATGTTTGTGTAAACTGATTTTCCTCTCAGTCTTATCAGGACGACCTGTGTATACACACACACTCACTTACCTGGGGTCTGGAAATTGAGCGCCACCAGTTGAGAACCGCAGAGCCACATGGGCAGTGGGTCATAGTTGGACGAGTCCAGCCTCTGTCCTCGGGGATAAACCCTAGACAGCTGCCGACGGTTGTATTGCAGGAAGCGTTTCCCTTTGGTCCGTGTGGCAAACTTTTCTGCCTTTGTCTCGGGGAAGGACGACATGTCTCGAAAACACGCTCTCTCTGTCCCAATTTCTGCAGGAGGAGGTGATGTACATAGGGAACGAGACATTATGAAAAAAATTGTAAGAAAAAAGACATAGAAGCATAAGAGTTTTGAATCTTACTGTCTTCATTAAAGGGCACGGGTCTGCAGTAAACCACCAGGTCTGACAACTCCACCGCGATCTTTTTCCTCCTCTCCATCTGTTTCTCTTCCTGCATCTGTAATATCAACACAATATGGACATGAAGCTGAGTCACAGCTGATGTGGAATCATCTGGTAAATATTACTTCAATACACACATATTCTAAACTTTAAATACTTAGGTGAATTTAGTTTCATGAAAAAAATACAGTAATACTGCTGACCCGTGCATCTGCGTTCTGTGCTGCCTCTCTGATCTTTCCCACCCAGGTGGTCAGATCCTCCAGACTTTCCGCGGCCACATCCAGGGTCTGAACCGGGTGGGAGGAGAGGTGCTGGGAGTGGATGGTGAACACGAAGGCCCGGGAGTTCTTGCCATCTTTGTGGACCACTGGATGAACAGGTGAGGGGTGAAGATACAGACAGAGGTAAATACAAGGTTGACATTTTTAAATTATAAAATGGTAAAATGTGTTTTCACATCATTTCAAACATTACTAAAAAAAATAAAAATAATTTATGGTTAAAATACAAGTAAATCTGAAAGAGTATTGACAAGAAACAAATGTATGCAAATGCTAAAAAAACACATGCATGTCCCACTGATAAGCAGCTTGTAACATTTGTCCACCAAAGACAAACAGTGTCAGTGATCCACAAAAAAGATCCATAATTAAAAAGAACATTTTTGTATTTTTTCTCATCACCAGTCTTACCAACATGACAGGTGGGAACATCGATGAAACCCTTAAGGAACGTACCCAGAGGACTG